CGTGGGTTCGGCATCGTGCCTGTAATTCCCAGCTACTCGGGCATAATTAAAGGCTGGGCGGGGCAGGAATCACTTTGAAAAAAACCCCGGGAGGGGAAGTTTGCAGTGAGCTGAGAATCCATGCCACTCGCACTGCCATGCCTTGGCAACAGAAGTGAGACATTGTCTCAAAAAAAAAAAAAAAAAAAGTCAAGGCCAGGCACAAGTGGGCTCACACCTGTAATCCCAGCACTTTGGAGGAGGCTGGGGTGGGCAGGACTCACGTGAGCGTCCAGAGTTCAAGACCAGCCTGCCAACAAGGTAAAAAACCCTCTGTCTGTACTAAAAACACAAAAAAAAATTAGCCTGGTGTGGTGGCGGGAGCCTTGATCCCCAGCTACACGGGCGAGGCTGAGGCAGCGAGAACCACTTGGACCCGAGTGAAAGGGTTGGCAGTGAAGCGAGATTGCACCACTGCTCTCCAGCCTGGGCGACAGAGCGAGAGACTCCATCCTCTGGGGGGAAGAAAAAGTTCCATGTAATGCCCCAATCGGTAAACATAAAAGAAAATAAAAAGCAATTTATCAGTAAAATTCTTTACCACACCACCACCATGATATACATATTCACAACTCATATGGATTCTAACTGCCCCTAGCTGGTCATAAATGGCCACTCCAATCTAACGTTGATCCAAGAGAAATGAAAACATGTCCCTACAAAGACCTTGTAACTGAGGCTGGGCTGCGGTGGCCCGCAGGCCTTGTAATCCAGCACTTTTGGGAAGGGCGAGAGGCAGGCGGATTGGCTTGAGCTCAGGAGTTCGATGAACCACCTGGGCAAACATAAGGAAAGACCCTTCTAAACTACCAAATAAAATTTTTAAAAAATTAGCCCAGGCTGGTGTTGCGCACCTGTGCCAGCTACTGGGAAGGCTGAGGTGGGAGGAGTGCTTGAGCCCTAGGATGACTGGCCTTGACTTTTTAATAAACAGTTTAACTGAGTCATAATTCATACACCATACAGTTCACCCACTGCAAGCACACAATGCAATGATTTTTAGTATATTCACAGACTTGTGCAACTATCGCCACCATCAATTTCAGCACATTTTCATCATCTCAAAAAGAAACCCTTGTACCTTTTAAGTGTCAACAGTCTAGCCCCCATCCCCACCGCCATCCCCAAGCAACCCCTAATCTACTTCCTGTCTCTAGAGATTTGCCCATTCAGAACATTTCACACAGCTGCAATCACACAACATGCGGCCTTTGTCTTGGCTTCTTTCTCTTAGCATGTTTTCAAGGTTCCTCTGTGTTGTAGCATGCATCAAGATTTAATTCCTGTTAATTAGTGAATAGTTGTCTACTGTATAGATACACAACATTTTGTTCATCCTTTCATCACTCGATGGACATCTGAGCTGTTTCTACCTTTTGGCTATTATGAGTAATACTGCTATAAACCTTACTCTGTCACCCAGGCTGGAGTGCAGCCGTGCAATCACCAATCACTGCAGTCTCGATCTCCTAGGTTCAAGGGATCCTCCCACCTCAGCCTCCCCAGTAGCTGGGACTACAGGTGGGTGCTACTACTCCTGGCAGTTAAAATACTTTTTTTTTTTGTAGAGAAGGGGGCTTACTATGTTGTCCAGGCTGGTCTTGAACTCCTGGGCTTAAGAGATCCTCCTGTCTTGGTCTCCCAAAGTGCTGGGATTACAGCCATGAGCCACCTCGCCCAGACCAACAAGTAAAGTATTTATTTATTTATTTTTAATTTTTTTTTTTTTTTTTTTCTCCCGGAGACAGAGACTCGCTGTCGCCCAGGCTGGACTGCAGTGGCATGAACCTGGCTCACTGCAACCTCCACCTCCCGGGTTCAAGTGATTCTCCTGCCTCAGGCTCCCAAGTAACTGGGATTACAGGCACCCACCACCAAGCTCGCCTAATTTTTGTATTTTTCGTAGACATGGGGTTTCGCCATGTTGGCCAGGCTGGTCTCCAACTCCTGAGCTCAAGAGATCCGCCCGCCTCGGCCTCCCAAAAGAGCTGGGATTACAGGCGTGAGCCACCGCGCCCGGCCTCAAGTAAATTTTTTTATGGACAAACATTTTCATTTCTCTTGGGCGCGCAGACACCTAGGACTGGAGTTGCTGCGTCTTGTGGAGACTCCAGGGTTCGTGGTTTGAGGAACCGCCGGGCTCTTTCCACAGCAGCTGTGCGGTTGTTCCCACCAACCGTCTAAGACGGTTCCTTGCCTGGCATGGACCAGTTGGTTTCGCTGCTGGGCCTTTTCCGTAGTGGCCCCAGTAGGGGCTGCAGAGTGAGTCAGGCACAGTCCTCACCGCGCCCTCCGGGGGCACGGTGGTCCCAGGCGAGCCCCGGGGACCTCTCTCCGTCCCCGCGTCCCTCAAAACCTGGTCCTGGGGTTTGGGCTCGCTTTCAGGGGCTGCTCTCGACTGGTCGTGCCCATGGGCTGGTCGCCTCTCTGTGCCTCAGTTTCCTCTCCTGCAAAACAGAGGTAACATTTTTTACCTCCCAAAACAGGACTCAAGGAAGGCTGGAAATGAAACAAGAAAAGAGAACAAAACCAGAATCCCAAACGGGAAAATAAAACCCTTTTTTTCTGGTGTGTGTATGTGTGTATTTTTTCTTTCTCTTTTCGTCCTGTGTGTTTTTGCTTCTTTTGTTCTTTCTCTCTTTTCATTCCTTTATCTCCTTTCTGCAAAGTGACGCCCCCCGGGCTTATACGGATTTTGGAGCCAAAAGCAGATGGGAGCCGCACCTGGAGCGCGTGGTGAAGGGAAGGAACGGCAAAGGAGCAGAGACACAGTTCCCCCACTTTGCAGGGGCGTTTCTGCCGGTGGGTGCAGGCCAGCCCCGCCCTGGCCCCTACGCCCCGCGCTCTGCGCCCCACTCTCCCGCCAGTCCCAGGCGCGGACACAAAGGTCCCGTCCGGGCCACTCCTGCCCGCCCCACCCCTTCCGTCCTGAACTCCCTCCTGCAGCCCCATTGGCTGGGGCCTCCTGGGGGCGGGGCTCGGCGCCCCACCCCGCGGGCCACGCCCCCTCCCCAGCTCCGAGCTCCCAGTCCGAGCGAAGCTACTGGCGGAGCAGAACGGATCGCGAGGTAGGGAGCTCTTCTCGGGGACCCAAGGAGGGACAAGGTGGCCGCCCCTGGCCCGAGTCCCCGGGAGCGGCAGATGGGGCCTCGGCCTCCTCTGTCCCCATCGTCCCCCCTCCTACAGGGTCTTCTAGCTCGGCAGCGGAGGGCTCCCGGCTGGGTTTCTCCGGGCCTGTTTGGGGAACGCGGGTTGCTCCTCCCCGGGGCAAGGGGTGGGTGTGGCAACAGCGGCAGGGATTCTTGGCGGACGTCGGGTAGCACTTCCCGCCTGGCCACCTGTTCTGTGCGTGCAGGGGAAGCTCTCCCCGCCCTCCCCACCGCTTTTGCCTTTGGGAGGGAGCCCTGGAAGGGGGACTCCCGGGGCGGTGGGGCGAGGCGCGGGGGGCGTCGCACGCGGGAAGCGGAGCCACCCCCCGCCGGGCCTGGTCGCACCAGCTGTGGCTCGAGGTTGGGACGGCGGCCAGGCCCGGCGGGGGAGGTGGGGAGCCGTCCTGGCGCCGCGCGATTAGCCGCATCTGGGAGGAGGAGGAGCCGCCGGGCACGCTCGCCCCGGGTGTTTGCGCCCGGATGGGGGTGGGGGGCCCTAGGCGCTGGAGAAAAACTTCATCCGCGCCCACAGGCCCCCTCCCGCAGGCTGCGCAGGCGGCCCAGGTTTGCAGGCCGGAAGTGAAACGTTCTTTTTTGATTTTTAAAAAGGAAGCCTCCGGCCCTACGGTTTTCTGGGGTTGGGGTGGATGTGTGTGCGGGGGGAGGCGGAGACGTCCCGCTCCAGGCAGGGCCTCGGGTCTCATAGGTGGGGAAATCTCACTGCCAAATAGGAGGCCTTTCGGAGCCTCAGTGTCCCCATCTGCAGACTGGCCTCTGACTTCTGGCTTAAGAGGGTGTGTGAGAGTAAAAGGAGACGGCTAGCCCCGTGCCGGGAGACACGTAAGCTACTGTTTTTTAACTTGCTGTTTTGATATTTCTCAGTCTCTCTGTGCCCAGTCTTGCCCCTCTCATCTGCTCGCCACTCTGAAGCTAGAGGGAACTTGTAAAAACAATCAGCTCAGATCAACCCCCCGCTGAAAATCGTCCACCGAAGTCCCATTGTCGTCTAAGTCCCCGACTTCTCAGCAGGCCTTCCTGTTATCTTCCGCCACTACCTTCTCCAGCCGCTCTCTGCCTCTGTTCTCCCTCCCTTCGGGCCTTTGGCCCGCCTCTGGGCTCGGGATCCTCCTTGGAGACCCCGCCGCCCTTTGCACTCCCTGGGTGGCCTCGGTGATGACCATGGGTTCTCGATGCTGGTCCCTTCAGGGCAAGAAAGAGGGGCAGAGCCCGGCTCGGAGTAGATGCTTTGAATAAGCTGCGCTAGGCCCAGCGTGGGGCCCTGGGGTGGGGTTGAGGGTGGTTGACGATGGGTACCCTAGGTAGGTGAACGGCCTTTGTTCCACGGAGTGGCAAAGCCAGTGCATTTGGTTTGTGTTCCAACAGCAGGGACAGGAATGGGAGGGAAGGTGATTTCACATGGGCCCGTGCCTGGCAGTTCCACCATCAGCCGCACAACTATTGTTGACTGAGCCCGCCGTGCGCTTGGCATTTTCGCGGCAGCGTGTGCACAGCGTCCGAGCCCTGCGACGCAGCACCGTTCCTGTCCCCTTTGACAGATGAGGAAACTCGGGTGGGGCGGTGAAGTCGCTTGGCAGAGGTCACTGAGGGAGTGGGGAGCAGGCAGGGCTGAATCTCAGGTCTGAGCCAAGCCCCCCGAGAATGGAGGGAAGGATGGAAGAATTGAGTGGGGGAGGAGTGTAGAGTAGGGTTCTTGTTGAGGAGGGCTTACGCTTCCCCCTGGAGGGGCAGTCCAGGTTGAGAGCTGGGGCGGGTGCAGGGTCCCAGGTGGGTGGTGGCGGTGGGGTGACCGTCTCCCTGATGGGAGACGGTCGAGGCCGTCCACGGGTGCTAATGGGGACACAGGCAGCGGCAATGTTGGAGGCCCCCTTGGGTTCCCGGTACACTCCTCGGGTTTCCGGCCTCTTCCCAGCACTCAGGGGCTCCTGAGGGCGGAAGAGCTATTCCCAGCTTGGCTGGGCCTGGGAGGGGGCTCCGGGCGGACGTGTGCGCCGGGCTGCACCTTCCCCACCCGCCTGTTTGCACTTATCTGTGGCAGCTGGCTTCAGGTCCTTAGCCAGCGGAGGACTGGCTCCGGCCTGGCTGCCCCCTCCCCTTTGCCTCCCATCCCTCCCCCGGACTCTCCAACCCCCATCCCTTCCTGTCCCTCCTCCCCTTCTCACTCTCTGCTCCTCCCTCGCCAGACCCCCGCTCTCCCCGGAACAATGGAGGGGAATGTGGCTAGGCCAGCCTGGCGCTGCTGCGTCAACCTCCGGCTCGTTCTCGGCCTCCGTGGCTTCCAGGGACCCTTCTACCTGGGCTCAGCTGACCCGCCCCGCCTCTCGGCCCACGTGCCGGCAGTTCTGCTAGGCTGGGGCTCAGCTGCGCTGGGGACTGGGATGGATCAGCTCAGTGTCTCTGTCTGTTTACAGAGAAGGAACCCAGGTGCACTGAGGTAACTTTGCTATTCTTCTAGTCTCACCTCTATCCCTGCGCAATTTCCCTTCCACCTCTTGCACTGGTAAGCCTTGGGCTGTGAGATGGACCAGTGTAGCAGGACTACTGCGGTGTTCCCTGGGCCAGGGACAGCTGCCTCACTGGGAGCGCCTTAGAAATGCAGAGTCTTTTGGCCAGGAGTCTCGAGCTTGTAATCCCAGCACTTTGGGAAGCCGGGGTGGGAGGATTGCTTGAGCATGAGACGGCGAGACCCACCTGGACAACATAGTGAGAACTTGTCTCTACACAAAATTAAAAAATTAGCTGCGTGTGGTGGCACACGCCTGTAGTCCCAGCTACATGGGAGGCTGAGGTGAGAGGATCCCTTGAGCCCAGGCGGTTGAGGCTGCAGTGAGCCATGAGTGCGCCACCAAACTCCAGCATGGGTGACAAAGCAAGACCCTGTCTCAAAAAAAAAAAAATAATGAATCTCAGGCCCCACCCCACACCTGCTGAGTGGCAATCTGCATTTGAACAAGATCCCCAGATTCCTGACTGCACTAAAGTAGCAAGTAGAATCACTGGCTTAAACCTCTGTGCCTTAGTTTCCTCATCTGTAAAACAGGGGTGTTAAAAGTGCCTCCCCTGTTGGGTTGATGTTTAGATGCATGTATTTGATGTTTGTAAACCCCCAACAGGGCCTGACGTGGAAGTCTGCGGACAGTGGCTGTAGGGTGTATGAAAGCACTATAGCCTGCCCTGTCCCCATAGTGCAGGCCACTATCCACCCACTACACCTGTCAGCAGTGGGCTGTCCCCGGGCTGGAAGCTGTCCCAACACCATGCCCAACCCTGGCATTCCCCAGCCAGCAACGCTTGGAAGACTCAAGACACCCTCATTTTGCAGAGCAGGCTTGGAGAGGTTCTTGCTTTGCCAAGAATGAGGTGTCTGACTTGAACTGAACTTTTGTCCCCCTGCCCTCTATCATCCTGTCTTCAATAAAGGGGCTGAAGCTATTAAGAATGGAGTCTCTGGCCAGGCACGGTGGTTCAAGCCTGTAACCACCGTGGGGCACTTTGGGAGGCTGAAGTGGGTAAATCACCTGAGGTCAGGAGTCCGAGACCAGCTTGGCTAAAATGGTGAAACCCCATCTCTACTAAAAATACAAAAATCAGCTGGGTGAGGTGGTGCATGCCTGTAGTCCCAGCTACTCGGGAGGCTAAGGCAGGAGAACTGCTTGAACCTGGGGGACGCTAAGGCAGGAGAACTGCTTGAATCTGGGGGACGCTAAGGCAGGAGAACTGCTTGAACCTGGGGGACGGGGGTTGCAGTGAGCTGAGATCGCGCCACTGCACTCCATCCTGGGCAACAGAGGGAGACTCTGTCTCACAAAAACAAAAATGAATGGAGTCTCCTTCAGTGAGCTCCCTCTCACTAGAGTGTAAATGGCTGATAGCGCTGCTAAAGCCCTCCTTGAACTAAGCACCTGGCTGCTTGGCCCCCGTTGATGTGGGTGGTGGGTTTTCAGGCCAGGAGGGCAGGAAGTTGGGGAGTAGGTTACAGGGATGCTGCATGATTGGGTCATAAGTCTCCAGACATGGGGGTAGGCTGAGCAGTGGCTGGGAAAGCCAGAGTCTTGGTACCCAGCTGAACTCCAGAACCTTCCAGGAGGAGCTGCAGAGCCTACGGAAAATTCCCAGGCTATTTTGGGTGGAGGCCCCCTTCTCCCTGATGACACACCCGTCCCTGGGGCAGTCAGGTTGGGCGTGGCTTCCTGCCCCCACCACCCTGGGCTCCCTCCCTTGGCCGGGCACTCATCAGAGCCTGGGGGCTGACTGGCGAAGGGGTTGCTTGGCCAGCTGGGTACCTCCTGGTGCAGCCTCTCCCCCTTACCCTGCTGGCTTTTTTTCCGAAGCATTTCCGCTGTCTGACCTACTCTGTATTTCACCAGGGTCTTTATTAGCCGGGCGACCCTGGGCAAGTGACTGGACTCTTTGTGTCTCGGTTCTCGCATTAGTGAAATGGGAATGGAATGAGCTGAGCTGTGTGAAGTGTTGTAAGTAGTAAGCAGTGTGGCCCCAGGACACTGCTGTGGTGGTGGCGGCAGTCATGGTCTGTTCCACTCCTTTATCTGTTGATTGAATAGGAAGTGGCAGCGTTCATCAAGGTCCCCTATGGCAGCACAGGTGCCCAGCGTGCTGTGAGGTGAGGCTCCCCTGGTCCATGTACATGTGCATACAGACGGCAACAAGTTCGTGCATGCATACACGTGTGTGTGCGCTCAGATGCAGATCCAGCCATGTGTGGGTGCATATGTATGTGTACACGTGCCTACACACAACACACATACCCATATGCATACACCTACATGCGTGTGCACACAGAAGCACACATGTACACACAGCCCGGCAGTCATGACGTACCTTGGGCGTGACATTTCGTCTGAGTTTGTTGCAGGCCAGACGCTCATCCTCGGTCTGGCCCGAAGCTTCCAGCCAGCCTGAAGCCTCCAGCCAGCCTGAGCAGTGGGTCTGTTTGCAGCCTTCCTCCCTCCCCCAGCTGTGGGGAGCTGAAGGCTAGTCACAGAGGGCGGGCCCTGTCTTCTGCTGGGGACACTCCAAGGCCATGCCTGGTATTGCTGGGAGAGCAGTGGCTGGCTGGAAGCTGGGACCGTGCTGGTGGGCGGGGCTGCTGAGTACCCATCCTTGTGTATGTGTGTATTGTAGAGGGGACACAGCAGTGGCCGGCCAGAGCCTCAGAGCTGGCTTCTGGGTGCCTGGCTACCCACCCCCAGCTGGTTTCTTTCCAGCTGGACTTTGCCCGGCCCTCCCCCGCACTGAGGTCATTCACTCTTCTCTACTGGGCCTACTGGGGAGTGGGTGGCCCTTGGCCAGGCCTCTTCTGGCCTCCCCAGCTGGACTCCAGCCCAGATGGGCCATAAGATGCTGGATAAAGCTCCTGGGACTCCCAGGTGGCACCGCCCCTACCCCTAGTCACGTCTGCTCCCTGTGCCTCAGTTTCTTCCACTATCACGTGAGCAGGAATGTAGCCACCTCCTGCTGGGCTGGGCACGGTGCTGAGCACACACACCAGTGCAGTGGCCGCCAGCTGGGGCTTTGGATCCTAATGCTGGCTGAGAATGAGCCTTGGAAGCCGGGTGCGGTGGCTCACACCTGGAATCCCAGCACTTTGGGAGGCCAAGGTGGGCCAGTCGCTGAGCCCAGGAGTTCAAGACCAGCCTGGGCAACATATTGAAACCCTGTCTCTACAGAAAACACAAAAAATGAGCTGGGTGTGTGGCACGTGGCCGTAGTCCCACAGCCCAGGAGGCTGGGGTGGGCGAATCACCTGACCCCAGGAGGTTGAGAGGGTTCAGTGAACCATGATCATGCCACTGCATTCCAGCCTGGGTGACCAAGTGAGATCCTATCTGGGGGGGAAAAAAAAAAAAAGAGCCAGCCTTGGGGCCATTCCTGGACCGTCCGGAGACCCTGCTCTGTGCCAGCGCCTGTCCTGGGCCCTTGGGACATAGAGGGCCCCGTGCTGCCCTCAGACTCCGCACCGCTACAGGCCATGGGCTTCCCTTGGCATCTCCCAAGGATTGGGTGCACTTGGGGTGTTGAGGGGGCTAGGGTGGAGAAAGAAGGGAGCCCCCCGTTTTGGATTTGTGCCATTCACCCAGGGGAAGGTGGGCATAGTTAGGGGTGTGCAGACAGGCAAATGGGTGTGACAAATGGAAGATGCAAGGAGGATGACGATGGTGACAGTGATGATGATGACGCAGCATGGTTCCTGAGCGGGCCCTGCCCTTTCCACCGCCTCTCCTGCCTCCCGTTCCTAGTCCCCCACCTACCACATGGTGTCCCCACTGACCTCAGTCCCACCCAGGCCCTGCCAACACAGGGCCTTTGCTCAGGCTGTTCCCCCACACCTGGAACAGCCTCCCTCTGGTTTTCAAATGGCTGCCCCTTTCTTGCTGTGCAGGGTCCTGCGGGCACTCTGATGAGCGTGTGGACTCCCACCCTTCTGCCCCATCCCCTTCTGTTTCTTTACAGCCCTTTTGGGATCTGTAATGAGCTGGTTTTTGTTTATTTAACTGTTTATTCCCTGCCTTCAGGTTCAGCCCTTTGTCTCTGTGGACTTGAACAGTGAACAGGGCTCAGTATTGGGCATGTATCTGTTGAGTGACTTTATGATGACAATTATAACAACAGTCATAGCTGACAATTATTGCTCACTGAACCTGGGTGGACAGTGTGCCTAGTGCTTAGTGTGTATTATTTTGTTTTCACTTCAGCCTGATGGTGTGAAGTCGGGACTATTATAATTCCCATTTTCCGGATGTGGAAACTGAGGCCCAGAGAGATTAAGTAACTTGTCCGAGACCACACAGCAGGCAAGGGGTAGGATTAGAAGTCAGCTGTGCTTCATTAGCTGAGCGTGGTGGCGGGCACCTGTAACCCCTGCTACTTGGGAAGCTGAGGCAGGAGAATCGCTTGAACCCGGAAGGCAGAGGATGCAGTGAGCTGAGGTTGTGCCGTTGCACTCCAGCCTGGGCAGCAGAGCTGGACTCCGTCTCAAATTAACCACAGAATAAAGGAAGTCAGCTATGCTTGACTGCAGGAGAGAGGAGGGAGGGAGCCTTTGGATAGAACAAGGCAGAGCAGTGCCTCTCACCGTGGAGTTGCCAGGCCACTGTTCCCATGTGCTGTCCTGGGAGGCCTGGACAGGGCCCTCCCCTCCCAGGGCCAGCCTCTTTCCTGGAACTCTGGGCGTCGAACATTCTGGGACTCTATGACCTGTGCTGGTGGGTCATGCGGGGGTCCTGGCCCCTAGGCCAGCAGCTGGGGCTTTTTTTGAGGTGGGGGCTCCCTGGACTCAGGGTCCTCCCTGGCCGTGGCTGCAGCTGAGAGAAGGGACAGGAGGTAGGATGCCACCTCCTCCAGAAGGCCAGCCAGCTACCTCCTTCCCAGCCCACAGAGCTGAGGCCAGACAGGGGAGGGTGGAGCAATGTCGGGGAGGAGTTTTGACATCTCAGGGAGGGGGCAGCCCTTTTCCTCTGAGCAATCGGGCCTGGTTCCTGGGTGGCTGTGGTTGAAGGCGGTTCGGGGGGTGTGGGGGGGTTTCTGGGTGATGTAGGTCGAAGCCTTCTATAAATGAGGGGACCGGGGTGGCAAACTGAGGTTGAGGGTTGTGAGAGCTTCAGTTCTTTTCCACGAGCAGCTGGAAACCTGGATTTTGAGGAAACCCCCTGGGATGTTGAAGAGAGTTCAGGCCGGGCGTGGTGGCTCATGCCTATAATGCTAGCACTTTGGGAGGAAGAGGTGGGAGAATCCCTTGAGCCCAGGAGTTTGAGATCAGCATGGGCAACATAGCAATACACTGTCTCTATAAATTAAAAAAAAAAAAAAGAAAAATTAGGCATAGAGGTTGAGGCTAGAGCGCACTGTGATTATGCCCCTGCACTCCAGCCTGGGTGACAGTGAGACACTCTCTCTCAAAAAAAAAAATTATTTATTGTTTTTGAGACAGAGTCTCACTCTGTCACCCTGGCTGGAGTGCTGTGGCATGATCTCGGCTCATTGCAACTCACACCTCCCTGGTTCAAGCAATTCTCCAGCCTCAGCCTCCCGAGTAGCTGGGATTACAGGCACCCGCCACCACGCCCAGCTAATTTTGTATTTTTAGTAGGGACGGGTTTTCTCCATGTTGGCCAGGCTGGTCTCAAACCCCTGACCTCAGATGATCCACCTGCCTCGGCCTCCCAAACTGCTGGGATTACAGGCATGAGCCACGGCGCCTGGCCCATGCTTCAAATGTAAATTTGAAAACCCCGTGGGACCTGAGTCAAACCTATTCAGGGCCGCTGCTGCCCGTCCTGGCTGTGTGGCGTTGAGTGGCTTCCTGAGTTAGGCTTCTCCCTACTTCATCTCGTACCTCCATCACCAGCCCTGCGCGGGTGCCAAGTGATGCCCACCCAGCTGCCCAACTTTGCAGATTTGGAAACTGAGCCCAGAGAGGGGAAAGGACTTACCCAAGGGTGCCACTCTTCCCTCTGAACCTTGAGCTGAGGCCACGTTAGAGCCGACGCCTTTGCATTCAATATTCAGTGTTCACTGTGTACAGCGAGTGTCCTGCTCTTGACACATTGTCAAAAGCACAGCAGTAGTTAAGGAATTCCCTCCCTCCAGCCCTCCCGCCGGGTTTATGGTGCATACTAGGGGTCACGGAAGGAATTTGATTTCATAACGGCAGCGGTGACTTGGGCTGTATGGAAATTCACTGGGCCTGATGGAGCTGGATGGAGATGGACGCAGCCTTGGAAATCTTCTCTTTCCCTTTGGGTCCTTTGGGCTCCCCCAGCAGGCCCCCCTGTCCTGGGTGCAGGCTTGTGACAGCTGCTCAGGGATGCAAACAGGGTGCCTGAGCTCCCTCTGCGATGTGTTCCGCAGTTTCCTGAAGGTGGACGCTGCGAGATGGTCGTTTTTTTGCCCCTGCCTCCCCGTAGCGTCTGGCTCACAGCAGCGTCAGGGAGGGTCTGTGCAGTGGCTGAGTTTGGATCTAGGTGGTTGGCATTAAAATCTCCTTGGCTTTGGGTTTTTTTTTTTTGAGACAGTCTTGCTCTGTCGCCCAGGCTGCAGTGCAGTGGTGCAATCTCAGCTCACTGGAACCTCCGCCTCCCGGGTTCAAGCAATTCTCGTGCTTCAGCCTCCAAGTAGATGGGATTACAGGTGCCTGCCACTACGCCCAGCTAATTTTTGTATTCGTATTAGAGACGGGGTTTTGCCACGTTGGCCAGGCTAGTCTCGAACTCCTGACCTCAAGTGATCTGCCTGCCTCAGCCTCCCAAAGTGATAGGATTGCAGGCGTGAACCACTGCGCCCGGCCCCTGGCTTTGGGTTTTCGGCTCACCTTCCTGACCTGCCTCCTTCCCTCCCACAAATATTCACTGTGTGTCCCGAGTGTGCTGGGATCCTTGCCTTGTGCTGGGGACACATTGGGGACTGATGCCATCCTGGTCATGGGGGAGGATGTGGCATTTTCATGAGGAACTATGATCGAGGGGGGCCCACGACCGCTTCAGGAGCCCAGAGGAGGCACCTGACCCCGCCGGCATGCTCCCAGGCAAGGTGGCAGCAGTGCTGAGGTGATGGAGAGGAATAAGCCTCAGATACTGGACTCTCAGACCTGGACATGGGGGCAAGCACTGGGCTCCTACCTCTAAAGGCATGAGCCCCTGAGAGCCTCTTCTCCTTCCAGGTCAGCCATGTCATCTGAGCCTCCCCCACCACCACAGCCTCCCACCCATCAAGCTTCAGTCGGGCTGCTGGACACCCCTCGGACCCGCGAGCGCTCGCCTTCCCCTCTGCGGGGCAACGTGGTCCCAAGCCCACTGCCCACTCGCCGGACGAGGACCTTCTCAGCGTGAGTCTGGAGTGGGCTGGGGACACTTTCTCAGATGGGTCTCTTGCTTGAGGCCAGAGATTCACTGTGTCTCTGGCCATTTTTGGGCGCCAGTGTTCCAGGCTGTCAAATAGGCAGACCTGGGGCTGGGCTGTGGGCTGATGGTGAGAAACTAGGAAGGCGCCTTCTAAATTCAGGGTACTGCCCAGCCCAGAAGAACCTGTTGGGAGTGGCAACGGGTGGGCAGTTGCTGGGGTTAGAATCACTGGACTCTAAACCACACATGAGAGTCTGTTTCCCTGTAAGATTGATTTCTGCAGCTGCAAAATGGGCGCAGTACCAGGGCTCCAAAGGACCCAACAATGTCTGGCAGATGCAGGTCTTAGGCCCTGTGAGTGGAGGATGCTCCTGTTATTAATAATTAATCATTAGTTTCTGGAGGGATGCTCAATGATCTTTTAGTTCAACTCCCTCTTTCCAGGTGGGAAAACAGGCCCGAGAAAATTTGCCAGGGTCATCCAAAGAGTCATTTTCACCAGAGTCTATGTGAGCGGCTCCCAGAGTTGTGCAGTCCTCAACCTGTGTGACTGTACATGGCGGTCCTGGCCAGGGCTTGATGGGGCACAGCTGTGGGCAGGGGCTGGAATGAGCTTCATGTGCCCGGGAGAGCTGGTGGCTGTCCTGGAGCACCGATGGGGCCCCTCACACTTCCCTCTCTCTGTCAGGACGGTGCGGGCTTCACAGGGCCCCGTCTACAAAGGAGTCTGCAAATGCTTCTGCCGATCCAAGGGCCACGGCTTCATTACCCCAGCTGATGGTGGCCCCGACATCTTCCTGCACATCTCTGAGTGAGTGAGCGGCCGGTGTGGGCGGCCTGGCTGGGGCAGGCACTTCCTTGGCCCTGTGGAGGTGGGGATGGCGTGTGACTGTGATGGGCGCTGGGTGTGAGGACAAATGGCCAGGCTTGTGTGAATCTGCCTTTGGCTGGGTGCTCCATTTGTGCTCCTGTGGTTGTGTTGGGTTGGGGTTGTGAGACTTTACAGAGCTGTGTCAGGGGATGTGAGGCTGGGGGCGACACGGTACCTGTGATTGTGCCTGGGTGTGTCTTTATGAATGGGTAAGGTTTTGTGTGTGCCGGGCGTGGTGGCTCACGCCTGTAATCCCCGCACTTTGGGATGCCAAGGTGGGCAGATCACCTGAGGTCAGGAGTTCAAGACCAGCCTGACGAACATGGTGAAATCCTGTCTCTACAAAAATACCCAAAAAAAAAAAAAAAAGTAGCTGAAAAAAAAAAAAAAAAAAAAAAAAAAAAAAAAAAAAAAAAAAAAAAGTAGCTGGGCATGATGGCGGGTGCCTGTAATCCCAGCTACTTGGGATGCTAAGGCAGGAGAATTGCTTGAACCCGGGAGGCAGAGGCCGTGGTGAGCCGAGATCTCGCCATTGCAATCCAGCCTGGGCAACAAGATTGAAACTCCATCTCAAAAAAAAAAAAAAAGAAAAAAATACAGAGAGATCTGCTCAAGATCACATAGCCAGAAAGTGATGCAAATGGATTTGGGGGTGCCCGGCTATGCTCGTGGGAGACAGGGTGGTGGCAGCTGTGCATGGTGCATGTGTGTGCGTGTATGGTTTTTGTGTGTGTGTGTGTGCGCGCGTGTTTGTGTGTGTGAGAGAGCAGCAAGGCCTGCTAGGGTGAGTCCGAGTGCCCATTGTATCTGGCCAATGGGGAAGGATACCTGTGAGCCTGGGGAGCCCTGTTTCGCCTGGGGACCAGGCCGACTTCCTGCCCTCCTTTGCGGGAGGTGGACTGGTGAGGCTGGGGGCTGTGCTGCTCCTTTGCTCCAGGAAGGAAGTTTGGGGCGGACCCCTTTGTCCTGCTGCATGCTCACTGACGTCCTTCCTTCCTGAGTGTCTTGAAGCCCTTGGGGAGCCTGGGGCGGGGCGCACACATCGTAGGGCTGGACTGGAAGGCACCCAGCCCCCCATGCTTCACCTCCGATCCTCTGGGCAGCCTTTAGACAGGCGAGGACCCTCGATCTGTACCCCCTTCCTACGTGCTTCTTTGGCCTAAGCACCCCCAAGTCTTTTACTTCAGGCAGTGGCAGACAGAGTCCTACTCCGCACAGCACACCCACAAACACAGAAACCACATTTCTGAAAAGAGGGGCCCGCTGCGATGGGGTGCACCCTCTGCCCCATGCTTACATATCAGATTGGCAGGCAGGAGAAAAAGGCCAAGGCGACGCATTTCACAGATGAACGCACGCATGGATGTGTAAATGTATTTTCATACTGCCTCGTCCCAGAAAACGTTTTGAATCAGTAAGGAAAACATAGAGGTTGGGGCAAAGAAATACTTAGAAAGATGGAAAAAGGGAGATGGAAATACTGTGATGTCTAGTTCTGCTGCTAGAAGTGGGCTGCAGATTTATTTCTGAGCTCCCTGGTGACCAAACCAAAGAGGGAAACACTCTTTACCATACGATTCTCCAATCAAAACAAACCAGTTACTAGGGGAGCTGGCTGGCCCTGGCATTTAGCATATGAAGGGGGTTTTCCTCTGGGGGGGTTCTCATCAATGGGACATCAAGATGCCAGTCTCATGTGAGAGGGTGACTTGTGTCCCCTAGAAAGTAAGGGAACTGGGCTGGGTGCGGTGGCTCACACCTGTAATCCCAGCACTTTGGGAGGCCGAGGTGGGCGGATCACCTGAGGTCAGGTGTTCGAGACCAGCCTGGCCAACAGGGTGAAACCCAATCTCTACTAAAAATACAAAAATTAGCTGGGCGTGGTGATGTGTGCCTATAGTCCCAGCTACTCCGGAGGCTGAGGCAGGAGAATCGCTTGAACCTGGGAGGCGGAGGTTGCAGTGAGCCGAGATCGCGCCACTGCACTCCAGCCTGGGTGACAGAGGGAGACTCCATCTCAAAAAAAAAAGAAAGAAAAGGAAACTTCCTGGGAGTGGTCACAGGGAGAGGCCCCTCCAGCACCAAAGGGACCTTCTTGAAGGCTCACTGGAGGCCGGGCGTGGCAGCTCACGCTTGTCATCCCAGCACTTTGGGAGGCTGAGGCAGGTGGATCACTTAAGGTCAGGAGTTCGAGACCAGCCTGGCTAACATGGTGAAACCCCGACTTTACTAAAAATACAAAAATTAGTTGGGTGTGGTGGCACATGCCGATAGTCCCAGATACTTGGCTGAGGCAGGAGAATCACTTGAACTCGCGAGGTGGATGCAGTGAGCCGAAATCACACCACTGCATTCTAGCTTGGGTGACAGAACGAGACTGTCCCTCCCAAAATAAATAAATAAATAAATAAATAAGGCTTGCTGGAAAACTGGGAAAACTGAGAACAAAGACACAGTGTGGTTTCTGAGACTCCTGGCACCAAGGGCTGCTATGCTGAGGACCTCAGAAAAGCCCTGCCCAGGCCACCCCTCAACTCCGATTCTTACTCCACGATGGCCTCGTTTCTCTCTGGCTTGGACTGGCCGTCTTTACTCTTCATCCGCAAGCCCAGTCACTCTCCCACGTTTCATGTCACCATGTGAGCACCCACAGGTGGCTGAGCTCTTTCAGTTCCAACATCAAAAGTCCCAGGGAAGGAGCTGATTGGGCCAGGGCCTCCTTGGCTAGGACAGAGGCAGTTCTCTGGAAAGAGGTTCCCAGTGGTTGGTCGGATGGTGCCCGCTTTGGTGGCCCTATGACCAGAAGGGTGCTGGTGTCTTGGGTGTGGCATTTTGGGAAAGGGAGCCTTGTCCTGGTGTGAGCACTGACTGCTTTATTTGTGCCCCTGTAGTGTGGAAGGGGAGTACGTCCCAGTGGAAGGCGACGAGGTCACCTATAAGATGTGCTCCATCCCGCCCAAGAATGAGAAGCTGCAGGCTGTGGAGGTCGTTATCACCCACCTGGCACCAGGCACCAAGCATGAGACCTGGTCCGGACACGTCGTCAGCTCCTAGGAGATGCTGGAAGCACCCCTTCTCCTGTGCTTGTGGGAGACTTTGCGGGGAGGCGGCGGCAGACGCTGGAGATGACATTCTTCCATACGAGACGGGGCTTCGGCAGGGCATGGTCCCTTTCAAGTATCTCCTGGAGGAAGGGGTGTGGGGGGCAGGCGTGGGGTGTTCCGGCCACCAGCACAGCCTCTGACCATCACAACAACCTCTCACCATCTGAAGTGCATTAAAAGCATTTAAAAAGGAGAGGTGCCCACTGGTGGCTGAGTGGAGATTCCAACCCCAGCCCAGGGAGTGGATCAAGGGTGATATTTCTCCAGCTGCTCAGACACAGGGGCTCAACCCACAGACCCTCTGCCTCCTGGAGCTACAGGCTCCAGATTCCCGGATCTGGCCCACTGGCAGCTGACGCGGACCTTGCGTGACTTCCCCAAGGCAAATTTCCAGCTAAGTGCCCCTTGCACCCCTCCTTGGGCCTGGGCAAAGCAGTTTTCTAATTCTTGGCTTGGTTGGTTCCAGGGGAGCTGGCTTAAAGCGGGGGGGAAACGGGGGGGCGGTCTTTGGATTGGACACGTTTTGCCTTTTGGTGCCTTTGCAGTGGGAGGCGGCATAGCTGCCTGTCTGGGGAAGACAGTTTATCCCAGCACTCCCACCCCTGGGCACAGCAGGTTGCTACTGGGAGGCTGAACCCCTCTTAGAGCCTGACCTTTTCATCTGCCTTCTGGTCGTGTGACCATCACTCAACAGCCATTTCACAGCCCCTGTCATTATGGCGGCAGGGTGGGGGTGGTGGGAAGGGCCTGTGGAGAGGGCAGGTCTTTGTTTAAAAACTTTGTCCCGATCCACCCAGAAAAGAGTGGGTAGCTTGCATCCTGACAGCCTGGCACAGTCAAGACAGTTGAAGGAGAAACATACCTTTGGAAAGAGGGTTTTCTTTAAAACTAGTGTTAAGAAATGCTTAGGGATTTTTTTTTTTTTTTCCTTATTTTTCGTAACTAAAGTTTTCACCCAGAGCCGGCTCTGTTTGCACCTTGCTGCCGACATTGCAAACTTTTTTTTTTTTTTTGCGGGGTGGGAGACAGAATCTTGCTCTTTTGCCCAGGCTGGAGTGAAGTGGCCTGATCTCGGCTCACTGCAACCTCTGCCTCCAGAGTTCCAGCAATTCTGCCTCAGCCTCCTGAGTAGCTGGGATTACAGGCGTGCACCACCACACCCGGTTAATTTTTGTATTTTTAGTAGAGACCGGGTTTCATCATGTTGGGCGAGATGGTCTCCAACCCCTGACCTCAGGTGATCTGCCCGTCTCGGCCTCTCAAAATGCTGGGATTACAGGTGTGAGCCATCGCGCCCGGCCTGCAAACTTTTCTGTAGGTATTTTCGGTAAACAAATCCTTAGATTATCTTTGCTGTGGTTTTGGTTTGGCTTTAGTCATGATTTAAAAGTAGAAATAGCTGGGCATTATGTTTTGAAATTTATGGCCTATATGTAGTCTAAGAATCCACTTGTCAACGCAGGGAAGCAAACTTTTGGAAACTGGCTTTTGGGCGGACAGTAAATGTCCAGAAAAGAGGTCGTTTGATGCTGGAAGCACAGATAGCTTCAGCAGGTACTTCTCAGCTCTCATGAGTTTGTCCTTTCAGCCTAAGAACTGCTGCCTTTGAAAGGGGGTGGAAGGGAGTTGTTTTAAAATAGGCAAATACACGTGTTGATTGCGAGCGTGTGGAGAAAAAGGCAGTTCCCACCGCAGTTAGGTCCTGGCCATGTTTCCTCGCCTGCGACGCTCCTTGTCCTCACCCTCCTCTCCCGCCTCTGTCCTCTGCTGAGTCAAAGGTGGCCTTTTTCTCTCCAACCTTGAATTGTTCCCTGGTGGCTTCCCAAGGGCCCATCTGCTGGTACAGTCCACACTTCCAAAGCCAAAACCCGAGAGGGCTCCTTTGCTGCCCCAAGCCTCTCTCTCACTCTGTCCTCGCCTTGGCGTGGGTGGCGTTGCTGTGACCCTGTGTGCTGGCGCTCTGGCAGGCTGTGGCCGGCAGTGAGCTGGGGGATTGCATTCTGCTATTTAGGGGTGACCTTTGGATTCTGTCTCAGCAGAATCCTTCGTCAACGGCTCTTGCTCTGTCCTTCCTGTTTGGCCACAGCTCTTTCAGTCAGTGGGTATTCTAGAACGGCAGGATGTCACAGCTGGAAGGGATGCGATACCAGTTTATAGAAGGGGAAACTCCTGGAGGCTCTGGGAGGGACGGAGGTTGTTGCTGACCGAGGAATAGCTAGAACTGAGGATTCCTGAATCCAGATCTTGCCTCCCATCAGCCGTCTTTCTCCCAATAAAGTTTTGTTTTGTGTAAGGCAGTGCGTGTGTTTGTGTGGAGGCTGGCTCACCAGGTTTTTCCTTTTAAGTCGTCAGGTGAGGGTGTCTCCCCCGGGTGAGGCTGACACATTCCACTTGGCAGTGTGTTTTTTTAGGGGGTGATGAATAAGAAGATGGGATCATCTGTTTTTCTTTAGTCATCATTCTGTAGCATGAGAAAGCTTAGCAGGAAGGAGAATGCAGCTTCCTGGCAACAGAAAATGCCACTAACTTGGTCAGCAGCTGTCCAGTGCCCTGTTGAAGCTTTTAGGATGTTGTGTGAGTTACACCTTACTCCCATGATACACCTGTGGGAAGAGGGGACCGGCCTGGGGGTGCACTGTCCACAGTCCCTGGCTCATTCCTGCTGTAGAGGTGGTGTTTGTTTTTGAGACAAGGCTGCCCTGCAGCCTTAACCTCGTGGGCTCAAGCGATCCTCCTTCAGCCTCCTGAGTAGCTGGGACTACAGGCATATGCCACCATGCCTGGCTAATTTTTAAATTTTTTTGTAGGAGCATCTTGCTACATGGTCCAAGTTGGTCTCGAACTCCTGTACTCAGACCATCCTCCTGCCTCAGCCTCCCACAGTGCTGGGACTACAGGTGTGAGCCACAGCGCCCGGCCACTGCTATAGACATTTGATGAATATTTGCTAGGCTGGGCACGGTGGCTCACACCTGTAATCCCAGCATTTTGAGAGGCCGAGGCAGGTGGATGGCTTGAGCTGAGTTTGAGACCAGCCTGGGCATCATGGTGAAACCTGGTCTTACCAAAAATATATATATATACAATTGGCTGGGCATGGTGGTGTGAGCCTGTGGTCCCAGTTACTCTAGAGGCTGAGGTGGGAGGATTGCTGGAGTCCAGGAATTTGAGGCTGCAGTGAGCTGTGATTGTACCACTGCATTCCAGCCTGCCTGGTGACAGTGACACACCCAGTCTCAAAAAAAAAAAAAAACAAAACAACTTGCTGTTCTTTCAGGCATGAAGTCAGGGGCTGGAAGCAGATGAGGCTTGAGGGCCGGGGGCTGGCATGAGAGTCCTAGGATGGATATAGCTTTTTCAGGGTCCATAGCAGCGGGGAAGGGTTTTGTTGCTGTTGGGAGCAGTGGAGTGAGGCAGAAGGTGGGCGGTTGTGAAGAAGCTCCGTGTTTTGTTTCCAGGAGAGCAG